AGAGGTAAACTGATCTTTGAATTTGCGATTTACTGTATTTATTATATTTAGTGAGAAGTCCTACACTTCTTTAATCCTGGATTTATATACATTTCATTCTGATGGATGATGATGTTGGAATAGTTTACAAAAATATGATAAGAAGAATTTTTAAAAAATGGTTGAGGAAATTGGACCAAAGGAAAAATAAAAGTAAGATATCAGTAAATCTACAGGCCGGACTAGAATGCATAATTGGATCTCTTTTGGCATCTACATTTGCTAGAGGCAGATGACAAATATAGCACTGAGCTTCCCAGAAGCCAATGCAAAAAGAGTAAGGTGATGAGCTTTAAGTTTCCCACTGTCCATAAAATAAATGCAGTGTAATCTTTTATGTACAGAAGAGCATTTTGTGAATCTGAAGCCAGGAGTTTTCTTTTCACAGAGTTCCAGAAATATCTCTACCAGCAGAGGCAACAGATTCTTCTCGATTGTTTGCCCTGCCCTTAAATGTTGACTTGCAGAGTAATAAAAGCCATATTACACCCAATAGCCAAATAATGAGTGTACAGACCTCTAAAAGGTAAAAGGTCAATGGACAGAATTGAGTTTTTTATAACTGTACTTCTTACAACTGGGCTTTTGAAACAGATTCAAACTTATGTTCTCTAGTGTACTCCAGTAAGAACCATTGCCCGTTTTGGAAAATTTCACTTAGGAAGGAGAGATTATCTCCTAGACATAAAACTGAGATGCACAACTACAGTCTGCCTCTGACGATCTTTCACTACAATCTATGTTGGAAATGTGGTGTTTAGTGTTTTTGAAACTCTTGATGTCTGCTGTACTTCTTTCGTTGGATTCCCTTCCTGCCTCTCTCTGGAGATCTCAGAGCAGGGAGCTGCTGCTGACATTAGCTGTCAGGGTTGAGGACACCAGGAAAGATGACAGAGGGTATGTACTCCACACATCATGGTCTATATGAATGGTGGTCCTCAGAGTCTGCAGCTGATGGTCAGGGCCCTACATGGCTGCTCTCCTGTATCTGTAATACTCTTCTCTCTTCCCCCGCCCCCACCTAAGACTGGCTTTATAGACAGCATCTTCTCTGTCTTTGAGTCAACTGTGTAGTTTCTGTCACAACTCTGAGAATTCTTCTGCTTCACACTCTTGTTTCATATCCAGGGTTCAATCTCCTTTCTGTTTTCCGACTGCCTCATTATAGGAGACTTAAATAGAGTAGCATCAATAATTACAATTGACGGGCACCTGGGTGGCTCAGTTAAGAGGTTGAACATCCAACTTTGGCTCAGGTCACGATCTCACAGCTTGTGAGTTCAAGCCCTGTGTAGGGCTCTGTGCTGACAGCTCGGACCCTGGAGCCTGCTTCGGATTCTGTGTCTCCCTCTCTCTCTCTGCCCCTCCCCTGCTAGTGCTCTGTCTTTCTCTCAAAAATAAATAAACATTAAAAAAATTAAAAAAGAATAGTAATTACAATGGACTTTTATACCCTAAGTACTCCAGTCTCCGAAGTAAAAGCTGGCAAATCAACACAGATATATCCTTATTAATATTATTACCTTCATGTATTACCATACCAGAGTCCAGTAATAATGACAAATAATTTTTAAGAATGGGAGAGAAACAAAGAAAATTAGACTGCATGTCTTACAAAAGAAGCAAAATTAATCTTGTAACAAGCTTTTGATCATATTCACTTATTTTAAATAGCCTGAGATCAAGTTCACAAAATGTTGTATTTTGGTGAGTTGTTATAAATGCAAAGCTGAATGTCATTTTAATGTTTATTTCTGGTGACTTAACGATCCATGAAACACTGTAGAGCCCTTCCTATTCTACACCCTCTCTCCTTAAAGATCATTACTATTTTGGGGCGCCTGGGTGGCTCAGTCGGTTGGGCATCCGACTTCGGCTCAGGTCTTGATCTCGCAGTTTGTGAGTTTGAGCCCCACATTAGGCTCTGTGCTGACAGCTCAGAGCCTGGAGCCTGCTTCGATTCTGTGTTTCCTCCTCTTTCTGCCCCTCCCATGCTCATTCTCTGTCTCTCTCTCTCTCTGTCTCTCAATAATAATAAATAAACGTTAAAAAATAAAAATAAATTTTAAAAAGATCATTATTATTTTATTCTACTTATGAGTTAAGTTTATAAATTTAATACTGATAAACTACATATCAAAGCAGAAATTTCTCCCTATTGTATTAATAAAGAAGTAAAATACTATCTTTAGACTTTCTTAGACATTTATACTTGACTCTTACAAAGAGAAAAATATGATTTGACAATGCTACAAAGTTAAATTTTTGTGGAATTATCAATCAAGGAGGATAGATAGGGTTTTAGGAGATTATTTCTCTGACTGTGGTCTCTCCACTTTCTAAATGTTTCTGTTTTAAGTCAGACACAAAGAAATCTTGATTGATGCAGCTGATTGGGGAAACCTGGTTGTAAGTCTTTCGCTGTTCATATAGTTTCTTTGGCTTAAACATAAAGTCTGCAATGAGCTCATGATTGTAAATACACTCATTTCATCAACTTCATGCTGTTCCTAATCAGTGTTTTTTTTTTCTTTCCCAAATTTTTTACATTATTATATGTTTTTGTATGCTCTCTTTGCACCCCGCATGTCTCTTTTATAATTAATTACGACTGCAGTTAATTACTTATTTAGGCTCTGTCCCCCTGCCGGATTACAAATCCCACATCTCCTTTGCTGTGGTCCCCAGTTCCTAGAAAAGAGCCTGGCTAATCAGAGGTGCTCCACAAACCTTCGATATGAGTGCAAGCACGAGGGAGTAGATACAGCAAAGCAACATACTTTCCAAAGGGACCATTTAAAAAACATTTTGGTTTTAAACAAATCCCACATCTATTTGGTTCAGCTTTCTTTCTTTTTTAAGCCTCTGTACTTTGAGGGCAACATAAAAATAATACATTTTTATTAATCTACACTCAATTATTCAGGATGCTCAGAAGAGCATGTTTGATGTCCAAGAAACTTAACAAAAGAAAAAAGACACATTCTCTTATGAATGACATTTCTTTATTTTTTCCCCCTAAGCATAGATTACAACTCGACTTATTTTGTTCTCAGGTGAGACCCACCCTAAATTTGAGCTTCTTCTAAATGATAGTGAATTTTCGAGGTTGTCAGCATCTAAGGTTGGCATTGGTGGGAAAACTATTCCAGGAGATTAAAATTCGCTGAAGAATAAGGGGGCTGTTTTCAGAGTTCTTAAATTTTTAGCTTAGCTAAACAGGTATAGATATTGACTAAATTTCATACTCTACCCTCTTAGACTGGAGCATGACAGACACAGTCACCTGAACTTTTTCTGACAACAATCATCGACGCTACATAAATTCTTCTTACCACATAATATCCTCTCCATCATACTAACAGCTTTAGAGAACTGATGTTAGAGGGCACAGATTTCCCTAAGTACCTGTCCCTTTCTTCCTTCATAATTACAATGCTAAAAGACTAAATCGCCCAGCCTCCTCTTGTACTTTAGAGATGAATACATTTTGACCAATGGAACGGACTGAAAATACTTCTGACTGCCACAAATTTTTCTTACAGGGAAGAGTCATGCCCTCTTCCAGCTGTCTTCCTCTTTCCTGCTGGCTGGAGTTCAGCACAATGCAGAAGGCTGGACTTCAAGCAGTCACAGTGAGAACCAGAAAGCAGAAGCCATGAGCTGAAGATGATGGTAAAAGCAAGCTAGATTCTAAATTCCTGAGTACTTCATGAGGCTGGCCTGCATACTCTGGCTTACCTATCTCTAGACTTACGTTATGCAAAAGAGAGGTAACTTCTATCTTGTTTTGGCTATTATCGTATTTGATTACTTGACCTTATAGACAAATCTAATCCTAAATTCCAAAAGAAAGAAAGAAAGAAAGAAAGAAAGAAAGAAAGAAAGAAAGAAACAAACCTAGGAAATAATTTAAAGAGAGAAATATGATGAAAATGGTAGCAAAGTATTATCTGCCTATGACATTGCCCAAAGGTAAAGACCTAGGATTCTGGGAAATTTTGAAAAAGTTAGTTACTGTTTTATCATTTTCCTTTAAATTATTTCCTAGACATGCCAGTAAGGAATAGCTTCACTGTACCTATCAGGCTTCTTCTGTCCTTCAAAAGAGAAAAAAAAAAAAACCACTTTATGATTGGAGTGAGTATCAAGACACTTTAACCTAACAGTCACACTAAACTTTATTTATTCTGATTTGTTTTGCATCTTATTGTATATATTTTCATCCTTAATTATTTTCCACTTGTGTTCTTATTAACCTTTAGTCACCTTCTGTGTGGGAGGATCGGGAAATAAACATTTTGATGATGACCTGATGTGTCAAATTAAATGAGGAGACTCCCTCTACCATTACAGTGCTTTCTCTAAGGCCAAGAGGCAGGTTATAAAGAGGGTGATGCCTGAAGGACAAAAACTGCCTTTTTATCATCTAGTAGAATATATTTTAGGGCAAATGAGTAGAATGCATATGAATTAGTTACTAAGCATTAAATGTAAATTGAACTTAATCTGCTTGAATACAAAAATTATTCTTCTTTAATAAAGTAAAAGACTTCATTCTTATGAAGCAAGAAGAAATGATTGCCCTGCCCATGAGGGGCTGGCATGCATAGGGCACCTCACCCACTAAGGGTTGCTATACGGCCTAAAGATTCCAGTGTCCAAAGACTAACTTCCATTTTACCTACATAAAAATAACTGAAATGATTAATACATGATGATCCCCGGATCCTCACACGTTCTTCCTCACATATCTTTCATGGTACGAGATTATCTGTACATGGGCAAATTTGGGGGCAATACAGGGATCATAATACATACTGTTATATGGGCTGGCCATAAAAGATCTCTCATAAACAGCACTTATTACACGAGATAGAATAACCTTAAGAAAACCTCTGACGTGTATCTCCTATCTCTCTTTCCTTGCTTACAACTTTTGGGTTTTTATTTTTTTTAAGTGTATCTAAGGTCTAGAAGAGGAAGATCTCTCCTTGGCGTGTCCTGTGGATCCTTTCCAACTGCAGAGCTGCTGCAGAACATCAGCTAGTCTGTCATTCCTTCTTTGTTTCTAAGCCTGCAAAATGGGCGTGAAAATGAAAAGATGGGAAATCCAGTGTATCGTGCAAAGTTCATCATTTCAAAGGAACATACGTTGAAAAGGCAATATATCCATATCTCACCAGAATAAATAAAACATAAGAAACAGTAGAGTTTCTGGGCCTTAACAGTCAGCATGGCGTCTGGGTGAGAGACCTACATGTTTAGATCTCTGAGTAAACGCCTGATTTTCAGCACGTGTGCATTCTGCTAGGTTTTAGGCAACGCCTTCTCTTCTAGCAGAGGAGCTTCTGATTTTCTAAAAGTATTAAGATCATGAAAAACAAGGAAAATGAAGAAAATGTAACCAATCAGAAGAGATTAAGGCCACATGACAACTAAATGCAATGTGGTAACTTAGACTGGATCCTCCAACAGAAAAAGGACATTAGCGTGAAAACTGATAAAACCTGAATAAAATCTGGTTTATTTAGTAGTATTTACCGATGTTAATTTCTTAGACTTGACTATGGTTATGTAAGATATAAAACATTAGGGGAACCTAGATGAAGGGTACATGTGAACAGGAATTATGCTATATTTGTAACTCTTCTGTAAATCCAAAGTAATTTCAAAATAAAAACATTGTTAAGGGATATACAAAAATTGCAATAGAACTTCACTTAGAGGATGGGAGAATCAGAAAGAGTATAAAAAACTAAAATCTTTATATCCTTTATGGGGAGCAAATTCTTTTTAATTGATTAATAAAGAAAAAGCATAACAACACCATAATCATATTATAATACATAAATGTATCAAATCAACATGTTGTATACACCTTAACCTTACACAATGTTATATGTTAAAACTATTTCAATTAAATGAAAAATAAAGAAAAAAGCAGTCTACACACATAATGAGAAATATAGCCTTATATACTAGATATTAGGTCTAAAAGAATTGAAAGTGACTGTCTCTGGGAAGTAGGGACCAGAAGGGGGAAGGGGGCTACCTTTTTCTTATTATTGTTATAAGCATTTTAGCACAATCTGACTTTTATAATATAGTACATATATTTGCTTGACTGTAAAGAGTTAAAGTAATTTTAGAAATAAACAACAGGCCAGTAGATTCCTAAGGATCCTGAGTCTGAAGATAATTTCAAGGACCAGAACAAGACACCAGGTACCATCACCAGTTATTGAGCATAAGACTTATACTGCCTTCTAACAAAACCGCGGCATCCAGTACTGATTAACACGAACATACTGCACTACTGGAAAGTCTTATATGATGTTACAAACATCAACTACCAGGAAATGTTTTAAAGCTCCTGAAAATCAAGATATCTTAGAAATGTAACAGATCCTTTATCTGCCTGACATTCTGCCTTCTATTACAAAACATGGTGAAATTCAACAAGGATCCATAAGCATGAAGAAGCACATCAGATGCTTGCAAAAGGTAGATAAAAGCAAAATAAATATCTAGTAAAAATGTTTTCCCTGGGAAGACTAGGATTAGGACCTTAAGGAAATGAGATGCTATGGATTTTGAGGGCATACATTACTGTGAGGGAGAGGGAACTAGGGAAGCTTTTATTTCAATTTCAAGAATTTTTTTTTAGTCTTTCTATTTGTTTTCTCTCTTCCTGCTTCCAGTCATTATTATCCACCCACTTCCTACCTTCTCCTTCTCCTCTTTTTATTTACAATTTTTTCAAGTTTTCTTCTTACTTCCTTACATGAGACCCCTAATAGAACAGGAATAAATAGTCTTTAGTGTAGTTAGAGTAATATTGTTTCTCTGATATTTTGATGGCATTTTGGTGATAATCACACACTATACATAGAATATAACCCAAGGAAGTTTCTTAAATATAAATAAATATAATAAAACGTTTAGAGGTTAAAAAAAAGACGTGGCTATTTTACTACTACCTTATTTTTATTTTATCATTTTGTTTTTTCATAATTATTCTGAATTATTAGATTCCAAGAATATTTTTGAGGATTGGATATGTAGAAATTTTTGAGAAGGAGAAATGATACGTTACTAGTTCCTGTGTAATGCTTCAATTTCTTTCCGTGTTTGTTTTTATGTTTTATTGCTAGATCCATCTGTAAAGAAAGGCTAGAGTCTTTGCCTGAAGGAAGGAGTATATGAATATGTAAATAATACTTTAATGTGATGACATTTTCTTATTTGAATATAAATTTAATAGGTAGTGTTATCCTAAATATCAACATAGTTCAGAACCAGATGATCACATTCTGTTAACTATTTCTAGATTCCATTTGCAACAGTGTGATTTACTGAACAAGTATATAAAGATTGAACCACAAAAACTGTATGCTTTTTATTTTAAAAAATCTGGGCTTTCTTTTTTTCACCTCACGTATTTTATTAAGCACAGTTGAAGGCAAAAAGTGAAATTTAAGGACAATCAGACACCTTATCACAGAGTATCAACACTGCATAGATTCTTATAAGTTCTTTCAGAGTGTGATTAATCAATCTACCAAGGATGTGCCTACTTTCTTTATCGAAATTCAAAATTGAAGAAATACCCTTCAGTGTTTTATATTAAGAGGAAAATAGTAAACACTGTCATTAAAAATCATTGTACTACCAAGAAAACACACTGAACTATGGGAACTGGATTCGCACTTACGTTCTTATCAAGAGACAGTTCATAGATAAGGTCGCTGAGAATTCGGCCTTGGTGAAGAAAACCATGAATAACATTCAGGTGTATTTAATAAATAAGAAGGTCAAACAAGGATTTCAACATTGAGAATAAGGTGGAGAAGCAGTGCAAATAAATAGTAAAAAAAAGCCTATTTTTTAATTATACTGAAAACATTACTATGGAACAAAGAGTAATACTTTTTAACATCATATCTCTGTCTAAAAATTATTGTCCAATAAAGACAGGAAAGAAATATGACAGCCAACTTTGTGTTGGCAAATGCTCTGACAATACAGCCGAGGAAAACGAATCCGAATTCCAGTTAGAAGAAAGTTAGTGACTAGAATAACAGAGGTAGATTAGGGCTCAGTAAGTCAGCTAGTTCGTGTCATTGCTTAACTGGGTATAAGAAAATCATCCAAAGTCAGCTAGCTAGTCCATTTTAATACCTCCTATAAAATACACTTCCTTCTGCAGTCATCTTTAGTAAATAGTTCCAGAGTATAAAGTCCTACTTATTGAGAAAATATTGTATCCAGGTTAAGAGAAAGAAACGCCTTAGATATTGTGATTACCATACCTGGTGTAACTTTGCAAACACTATAGAATTTGTCAAATGATTTATTAGAGAAGGTGTTTTCATCTAATTTTACAGCTTATAAATACAATTTAATTTTACTATGATTTACAAATTCATACGTCTAGCTCTCACCTTCCTCTTGAACTCTACATTTGTGTACCCAATTCCTAATTTAATATCTCCATTTGGATTTATAATATTCATCTTAAAACTAGCATATCAAAAACTGAAAGTCTACATACTTTCTTCCTGTACACACACAAACATACACATTTCCACACATAGTCGGCTCCAGTCTTGCTGTTGGAGGAAATGGCAACTCTATTCTTTGAGCTGATTGGGTCAAAAATCAGGAAATCCTTTTGGCTCAGTTATTCGAAGATAATTAGAATCCCAACACTTTTCATCATCTCCATTACTAGTTTGCTCAAAGTCATTATCATCTTTTAGATATTCAATTGCCACAACTTCCATAAATTCCCATGCTCTTCCCACTTTCAATAGGGGAGGGTACTTGTTACTTACTGATAATAATCTCTGTGCCCTCTTATAGTCTACTCTTATGAAAGCCTCATGATCCTTCTGAAACATCATTCAAATCTTCTCATTCCCCTGCTCACAATACTCATGATTTCCTACCTTATTCAGAAAATGTCATAGAGGCTTCTTCAACCACTCCATATAAAACAGCAATCTCTGTCTGGCATGCCGAGACCTTTATGCTCTGCTTTATTATTTTCTCTGATATTTATCACTATCAGACAAATTCTACATTTACTTATTTATATAATTCCTGCCTGCCCTCATTAGAATCTAAGCTCCATAAAGGGAAGGGTGCATATGTATTTTATCTACTTGATTCTGAGCACCTAGAAAAATACTCAGATGAATACCTATTTTTGAATGCATAAATGCATCAAGCAATCAATGACGGACAAAGTTAAAGGGATTGTCACAGAAATCTATTATATAATGAATTATTATGGATTGAATTGCATCCCCCAAAAAGATATGCTCAAGTCCTACCTCCTGGAATCTGTGAATTTGACCATATTTAGAAATAGGGCCTTTGCATTAATCAAGTTAAGATGAGGTCATACTAGATTAGGGTGAGCCCTAATCCAATGATTCATGTCATCATCACAAGACGAGGGAGATGTGAATACAGACACATACAGAAGAATGGCATGTGAAGGCAACAGATTGAAGGAATGCATCAACCAGCCAAGCCATGCTGATGTTTGCCCATAACAACCATAAAATAGGAAGAATCCTCCCCTTGAGCCTTAAGACGGAGCATGGTCCTGATGACATCTGGATTTGGGATTTCTAACTTCCAGAACTAGCAGAAAATATATTTTTGTCATTTCAAACTACCCAGTTTGTGATAATTTGTTACAGCAGCCCCAGGAAACAATACATAAATTTTATACTCTTTTTCCTCAAATTCTAGAATATTAGAAGTTCTTTAAATAGAACCTTTAGGGGAGCCTGGGTGGCTCAGTTGGTTGAGCGTCTGACTTCGGCTCAGGTCATGATCTCATGGCTCATTGAGTTTAAGCCCCGAGTTGGGCTCAGAGCCTGGAGCCTGTTTCAGATTCTGTGTCTCCCTCTCTCTCTCTGCCCCTAACCCACTTGCATTCTGTCTCTGTCTCTCTCAAAAACAAGTAAACATTAAAAAATATAGAAACTTTAAGTGGAGATTTTTAAGTATATTTAAGATTTTTTCCACAGGACAATACCCACTATGCTTGACCAACAGCAGTGGTTTTTGGGTTTGACATGCTCATCAAAATCATGAGACAAAACGCTTCACTCAGCCTCTTAAGAACAGGCTTTTACAGAGGCTCTAAGAAAGCATGCAGGATAGACAGCTATGCACAGGAAACACAGAGCAGAGGCTCATGACTCCTAGTGACAGCTGTCAAATGTCCCAATTTCTCCACATTGAGATGTACAGGATTATGAAAGTTGAGGTCTAGTAGGTATGGACCTCCTTGGTTCACGAAAGCAAACAGCTTCAGGGTCCCATCGATTTTTCTGTCTTGCTAGACTCATAACCCCCTCAGAGGT